TTTATATCTAGAGTGTTGTGCCTATGTTTTCTTCTAAGACTTTTGTAATATCTGGCCTTACATTTAGGTCTTTAATCCATTTTGAGTTTGTTTTTGTGTATGGTGTCGGAGAATGTTCTAATTTCATTCTTTTACATGTAACTATCCAGTTTTCCCAGCACCACTTATTGAAGAGACTGTCTTTTCTCCATTGTGTATTCTTGCCTCCTTTGTCATAGATTAGGTGACCATAGGTGTATGGGTTTATCTCTGGACTTTCTATCCTGTTCCATTGATTTGTATTTCTGTTTTTGTGCTAGTACCATAAGGTTTTGATTACTGCAGCTTTGTAGTATAGTCTGAAGTCAGGAAGTCTGATTCCTCCGGCTCCGTTTTTTCTTTCTCAGGGTTGCTTTGGCTTTTTGGGATCTTTCATGTTTCCATGCAAATTGTAAAATTTTTATTCTAATTCTATGAAAAATGTCAGTGGTAATTTGATAGGGATTGCATTGAATCTGTAGATTGCTTTGGGTAGTATAGTCATTTTCACAATATTGATTCTTCCAATCCAAGAACATGGTATATCTCTCCATCTGTTTGTATTGTCTTTGATTTCTTTCATCAGTGTTTTATAGTTTTATGAGTACTGGACTTTTGCCTGCTTAGGTAGGTTTATTCCTTTTGTTGCAATGACAAATGGGATTGTTTCCTTAATTTCTCTTTCTGATCTTTCGTTGTTAGTATGTAGTAATGCATGAGATTTCTGTGCATTAATTTTGTATCCTGCTGATTTACTGAATTCATTGATGAGCTCTAGTAGTTTTCTGGTAGCATCTTTAGGATTTTCTATGTATAGTATTGTGTCATCTGCAAACAGTGATAGTTTTACTTTTTTTCCAATTTCTGTTCCTTTTATTTCTTTTTCTTCTCTGATTGTGGTGGCTAGGACTTCCAAAACTATGTTGAATAAAAGTGGTGAAAGCGGACAACCTTGTCTTGTTCCTGATCTTAGAGGGAATGCTTTCAGCTTCTCACTGTTGAGACTGATGTTAACTGTGGGTTTGTCATATAGGGCCTTTATCATGTTGAAGTATGTTCTCTCTGTGCCCACTTTCTGGAGAGTTTTTATCATAAATGGGTGTTGAATTTTGTCAAAAGCTTTTTCTGCATCTGTTGAGGTGATCATATGGTTTTTAGTCTTCAGTTTGTTAATGTGGTATATTATACTGATTGATTTGCAGATACAGAAGAATCCTTGCATCCCTGTGATAAATCCCACTTAATTTATGGTGTATGATCCTTTTAATGTATTGTTGGATTTGGTTTGCTAGTATTGTGTTGAGGATTTTTGGGTCTATGTTCATCAGTGATACTGGCCTGTAATGTTCTTTATTTGTTTCGTCTTTGTCTGGTTTTTGGTATCAAGGTGATGGTGGCCTCGTAGAACGAGTTTGAGAGTGTTCCTTCCTCTGCAATTTTTTGAAATAGTTTCAGAAGGCTAGGTGTTAACTCTTCTCTAAATTTTGATAGAATTCGCCTGTGAAGCCGTCTGGTTCTGGATCTTCATTGGAAGTTTTTTAATCATAGTTCCAATTTCAGTATTTGTGATTGGTCTGTTCTTATTTTTTGTTTCTTCCTGGCTCAGTCTTGGAAGGTTGTATGTTGTACCTTTCTAAGAATTTGTCCATTTCTTCTAGGTTGTCCATTTTATTGGCATATAGTTGCTTGTAGTAGTCTCTTGTGATCCTTTGTATTTCTGTGGTGTAAGTTGTAACTTCTTTTTCATTTCTAATTGTATTGATTTGAGCCCTCTTTTTTTTCTTGATGAGTCTGGCTAAAGGTTTATCAGTTTTGTTTATCTTTTCATAGAACTAGCTTTTAGTTTCATTGATCTTTACTGTTGTTTTCTTTGTCTCTATTTCATTTATTTCTGCTCTGATCTTTATGATTTCTTTCCTTCTATTAACTTTGGGTTTTGTTTGTTCTTCTTTCTTGTACTACTTTAGGTGTAAGGTTAAGTTGTTTATTTGAGATTTTTCTTGTTTCCTGAGGTAAGATGTATTGCTATAAACTTCCTTCTTAGAGCTGCTTTTGCTGTGTTCCATAGGTTTTGGATTGTCATCTTTTCATTGTCATTTGTCTCTAGGTATTGTTTTGATTTCCTCCTTGATATCTTCAGTGATCCATTGGTTGTTTAGTAGCATATTGTTTAGCCTCCACATGTTTGCGGGTTTTTTTTACAGTTTTGTTCTTTGTTAATTGATTTCTAACCTTATAGCGTGGTCAGAAAAAGATGCTTGATATCATTTCAGTTTTCTTAAATTTACTGAGGCTTGCTTTGTCACCAAGCATGTGATCTGTCCTAGAGAATGTTCCATGTGTGCTTGAGAAGAATGTGTATTCTGCTGCTTTCAGATGGCGTGTTCCATAAATATCAATTAAGTCCATGTGTTCTAATGTGTCATTTAAGGCCTGTGTTTCCTTATTGATTTTCTGTCTGGATGATCTGTCCATTGATGTAAGTGGGGTGTTAAAGTCCCCACTATTATTATGTTACTGTCGATTTCTCCTTTCATGGTGTTAACATCTGCCTTATATATTGAGGTACTCCTATATTGTGTGCATATGTATTTACAATTGTTATATCTCCTTGGATTGATCCCTTGATCATTTTGCAGTGTCCTTCTTTAACTCTTGTAACGGTCTTCATTTTAAAGTCTATTTTGTGTGATACTAGTATTACTACTCCAGGTTTCTTTTGATGTCCATTTACATGGAATACCTTTTTCTATCCCCTCAGTTTCAGTCTGAATGTGTTCCTAGATCTGAAGTGGGTCTCTTGTTGACAGGATATATATGGGTCTTGTTTTGTATCCATTCAGCCAGTCTGTGTTTTTGTTTGGAGCATTTAATCCATTTACATCTAAGGTAATTGTTGGTATGTATGTTCTTATTGCCATTTTAGACACTTAGGTTCTTTGACATATATATCTATTGTCATACAATTTGCAGTTCAGCATGCTTATAGTAAATTTCAAAATCTTGTAAGGCATGTCCCCTCCACTCTCTTTCTTTGAGATTGTAATGTGGAAGATAACCATATTCTTTGCATAGCTTTTCCGGCTTCAGAGCATTGGTTTACTAGGCAGCAGTAAGGAGATGGAGTGCTATAATATCAATTGAGCTTGTTCTGTCTTGTTTTACTTACGTGAAATTTTGTATTACATGTATGGAAAATTATAGAGCAAATATTGCTTTTTCTTTGTACTTAATTTTAACTTAAAAATAGAAGTAAATTCACATATCTTATTGAGTTAAATTATGTAATTGTTATAATCCCTCTCAAATATGTTGTCCTGATTGTTTTACTCTTTTTTGGCATCTCTTTATTTTATAATCCCCTAATTTTTCTAGAGAAAAATTATTTAGAAGTACACTCTTTGTAAAAGGTTAGATAGTATTTTTAAAAAGATTAGATCGTATTTAGCTTTATTATTTATATTCCTCAATGATCACAAGATTACATCATTCACCTCGTTAAATAGATACAGCATCTCTTTCTTGAACAGCGTATGAGCCTAGTGTATGTCTGCATGCACATAGCAGCATATTATCATTATTCTTGAAGTGCTGGCAATTCTTGCTTTGTGTCCAGTCTGACAGTTCCTAAGAGCCATCTCTATTTTGTTTCTCAATGTTTGTCAGTATTTAGAGTTTATTAGATAATTATTTCCATTTGTGTATTTCAACACATGAATCCCATCTGGTGGCTGAAGTGGGTAATTACAGACCATCCATTGCCTAGGAAAAAATAATACATATTTCTGTGTATTGCTTTTAAGTTTAAGCAAATCACTAGTTCTTGAAATTAATAAGAAGGTTGAATTGCATATTTTTGTGAATTATAGTTGTATTACTTTATTGTACATTTTTAAACAAAAATGAAGCTAAAGTGATTTTATTTAGGTTAGGTGATCATCATTTATGAATACTAAAGTTTGATTTTTGGGGTGAATATGTCATGTAGTATATAAAGGAGCACTTATTTTCTTCACATTTATTTGTTCTCTTTAGGTAAGGCAAAGAGAATCTTTACAATTTTGTTTGTATCACTTGTTTGGTATAACTTAAAAAAATAGATACTCCATAGTTAAAGTTCAGGTCATTTATTGTCATGATTGCTTAACTGTAGGTTTTAAGTGTATGAAGACTTACTGTATAATCACAGAGAATACATGTCTGAAAGCCTTAAATTCAGTTAGAACAGAAAAAATTATTAAAAATTTACAGGTGTGTTTATCAGAAGTTAAATATTAAAGCATTTTTATTCAGTCAACTGCAAATCTGAATCATGATAATAAGTCTTTACATATGGGGAATGAATAGGCTCATGAGACTTTTTTCATTTAGAATAAAACCTTTAAAATCCAGTCCTCAGAGAGTGGTTTCCAAAGCCCCACATTTTATTCACTTGATTGTGCCAAGATGTTGGAGTATACATCGTATACCAGATCACTCCATTATCTTAGTTTCCATGAATAGACTATCATCTGAAGTTTCAAAAAAAAAAACGATTGGTTGAGTTTCAGTTAATAAGAGTAACAATAACTGATCAGTAACTGAAAGGAATAATAATTAGCCTGAAACTCTGATTTTTGTTGACTATTTCTATCCATAGATAATCACAGTACCAAATTTTTGTGTAGAAAAGTGAAAGGTACTACCTTTTTTTTTTTTTTTTAAGTTACTAAAGTTTTTACAATTTGAAGGACTTGGCTGAATTATTCTTTGGAGAAGTATAGAACTCTAGGCTCCTTTTAAGTGGTTTATATGTTTTATGTATGTAAATATACGGTACCTCAGGAGTAATCTGGCTTTGTAGAGGATATACATCAACAAAATTTTTAATAAATATAAAGGTAGATAAATAGCTGTGATTCAATTTATTTTGGAATATTCATTTGTGTTTTTTTGCTTAAGTGCTGCTGAGTCTCACTTATGTGTCTGTTCTTGTTTAACAGAATCAAAGAATCTTCAGGATGGCAACAAGTGTTTACAAGCCCATATTTGGATTGGACTATTGAACGAGTAGCTCTAAATGCAAAAGTGGTTGGAGGTCCACATGGAGACAAAGACAAAATGGTCGCCGTTGCCTCAGAGAGTAGCATCATCTTATGGAGTGTCCAAGATGGAGGAAGTGGAAGTGAAATTGGTAGGAAAAATCTTGTGTACACTGTTACACGTAATATTCTGAAGTTTAAGAGGGATTGCCCATAAATATCAAAACTAGTTATTGGACTAGTTATTAGTTAGCTAGAGCTGCTGCATCTTATTTTCAGGGTCCAGTGATATACAGGACTGCTCAATGTGAGAGGAATGATCTGGTAAGGAGGGAGGAAAACTGAAACCTGACTGCTCTATAAGAATGTGCTTTTCCTGAATCCTGTTTAGTGGTGGCTGCTTTCTCTCCACCTGTTTCATACCACTGGGCCTGAAGATTGGGTGAATAACTTTCTTGTTCCTCCTCATTTGTTGCTTCTAGGCCAGAAAGTCTCAAGCTTTTAAATCTCTTCTAAATTTCACTTGACATTCTAGTTCAGGACCATTAAGAGTTTTTCTTTGTATAGGTTTTATCTAATGATATTTACCATAATAGGAATTAAAACTGAAATTTTAGTAACTGCTTATTAATTTAAAAAATAACATAAATAAGCCCATTGCATGGTAACATGAATGACACTTTTTTTTTTTTTTTGGCGGTACGCGGGCCTCTCACTGTTGTGGCCTCTCCCGTTGTGGAGCACAGGCTCCGGACACGCAGGCTCAGCGGCCATGGCTCACGGGCCCAGCCGCTTCGCGGCATGTGGTATCTTCCCGGACCGGGGCACGAACCCGTGTCCCCTGCATTGGCAGGCAGACTCTCAACCACTGCACCACCAGGGAAGCCCCCGAATAACATTTTTAATGAAGAATAACTATATTTCCAAAAATTTTTGTGGGAAGAGTGGCAATGGTTTACAATTTTGTAAACCTCTTTAATGTTTTATTGAATTCTGATACTTATTTCTGCTTTCAGTCTGCTACGTTTTGTTACTCTGGTTGAACTACATGAAGAGAATTTGGCTTCACACAGATACATAGTTGAAAAAAACCGTATTTTTATATAGTCTTTTTAGATAATTGTGGATAGTGTTTGCTTCTTTCCCAAAATTTTGAAATGATATCGATGAACTCTGTTCATACAGATCATACTCTTTTAAATTAAAATCCATCAATCTGTTTTGTACTTTGAATGGATCTTTTGTCCTTACATAATTTTATAACATGATGCATTGGTCATTTGGAAAGTGTTGGTTTATTCTGAGTCATGTAGATCTTCCAAGTGTTGATACCTTTCATTGTACAATAGAGTAAAAAAAAAAAAAAAAAAAAAAAATCACATTTTTTTACTATAACCACTGATCACACCTCTGAACTCTGTTGTGTTAGGAAGTTGTCATGCTCGCTGTGGCAGATAAACGCTTTCCAGAATTCTGATATTCACTTGAAACACTGAGTTTGTATTATTAAAATAACAGGTCCACTTTTCTCGCTTTTTAGGAAAGTCTACCAAATAACCAAATCTGAATTACCATAGTTTGTTACTCGTGCTTTCACATGAAAATGGTACGCTAAGAGAAGAGCTGCTGGTTTCCTCTCAGCTCCAGCAATTTGGAAGATGCTTCTCCTCGACACAATCATGGTACTTAGTCACACAGAATATTCAGAAGACATAAACTCAAAATTGAGACTTAGTCAGTACATACTTTTACACAGATTGCTTCATCCAGGAAATTCTTAAGTTCAGCTGGCCTTTTTTTCTTCCATTGAAAGTGTGCGGCAGAGAAGAATTTAATCACTACCAGTACGGTTTACTGCCACTACTTTGATTCATGCTAAGGTGCTCGCTCTTTTTACCCAACATTGCTTTGCACCATTAGTGCAGAGATCAACAGGAATGTTCTAGGATAAAGTGTGATATTCATACATTTTCAACACTTTGAATATTTCAACACCATGTGTGTTTGTGGCTAATACTCAGGTAAAAGATCTCTGATGACTGGCTGGTACTGATACTGGATGCACAGAAACAAAACACCAGGTCCAGCCACATCTTTGTATTCGTTTTTGTAAGACAAAAATGCAGTTTTGCAGACAACCTACTGTCTGCACCAGTCTTTAATTCAAGGACTTACTGTGTCATTGAAAAGTGCCAGTGTTGTGGTTTCTTTTACTGACATTTCATCTGGCAGGCTTTCACCATCGCCATCTGTCCTAGCTTTCTTAGTCTCACAGTGATTGTGTGCCCTCCTCTAGCCAGTGCAATGCCATAACTTACCCTGTAGGATGATTCAGTGGCTTTTTCATATCTAGTTTGAAAATCTGTAACAATTTGTGGCTTTTAAAACACTTTTTCCATCTTCATTTAAAATATTTCTTTAAACTCTTGAGTATTTGGTCTCAAGGAACCCACAGCTGGCTTTATAATACTGTTCAAAATTGTTCTGTTGCATAGGCACAATAAGGCAAGTTATTAATATCTATATAGTTGAAGGAAAGATTACTTTTGTTATTTAAAATTTGTATATACAGTTTTGCTCAGTTTGTTTTAGAGTCCTCCCTTCCTTGAATCAAAGAACTCTACTATGTCATATGTATCTTTGCCAGCACTGTTAGATTTAGATGGTGCAGCTATGGATTGAAAGGCAAGTTAAGTATAAGAAAAATACATTAAAAATAATTTATTTTAGAATAAAATATTTTAAACAGTTTTAGGTAAAATTAAAGGTTTTCAGAACATTTTAAAAACTAATATTGCAAAACAACTAAGTGTATTTCTTGTGTTTCTTTGTAGGCACAAGGAAAACTTGTGTTTTAAAATAATTATAGCAGTTGTAACTGAAGACAACTAATAAAAGCACAGTGGAAGTATTTAGACCAAACTAAGTTAGTCTTGGGAAACTTAGTTAGTTATACCCCAGCCTACCATCATAAACCATTCTAGAGAATATAAGAACACATATGCAGATGCCATTGTCTAAATGGTGACCTCATCACATGTCATGTAGCCTCTGGAAAACTCCTCTGTACATTCTTGAGATAATGAGAATTTGTTTTAAAAAAGGCAAGTAGTGCTTTAATATCACCATGAAAATAGTCTTGACTTCAGACTTCCAGAGGGTTCTCAGAGACCAAGGATTCCTAGACTATACTTAAAGAGAATCATTGTTCTAGGCCATTTTCCTTCCCTTCTCTCCCAGCTACTCCCCCAGTCCCCGCGCCTGCCCACATTTCGAATCTCATACCATCTGCATTTACGCTTGATGTAGTCCTCAGCTGCCCTCTAGGTTACTATCCTTCATGCCTTTGAAATTACTAACTCTGATTTTCCAACTCAAAAATTCTTTAACTCCACTGGGATCTTCACTCATTACTTCCCTTTTTATAGGCTTGGATTCCATCATTATAATCACTCTAGTATAGAGCCTCAGTTTTCTTGTATCTTTCCCTTTGCCTTACCTACCTGGAGAAACCACATCCCTGGCCAAATCGACCTTTCCCCCTGAATATTAAAGGCGGTGAGGAAAAAGAAATGCATATGCACACAAAACAATAGTCTCAGTCCGTGGCCTCTACTCTCAAGTGAGCCTTTAAAGGCTACCCAGAAATCCTACTACATTACCCTTGTCAGTTCTGCCACTCTCCTAGATGACTGTTTCATACCTTTTTCTTTTTCCTTAAACTTCCAACATCTTCTGTCATTCTCATTGAGAGAATAGAGAAAACCAGGAGAGACTTTTCCTAAATTCCTTTAGTCATATCTGTCCATCTACGTGTATCTGTGCTCATATAATCTATTATCACATTTATTACTGTGATTAAATTGTCTCTGATCTTATCTAAGGCCAGCTCCTTATATCCAGCTGTGTACTATGTCCTATTTCCTTCTACCTACTGGAGACATTGCTCTAGAAGTTATTCCACTCTGTTGGATCATTTCCATCATCATACAGCTGTGCTTTAATTCTGCCTTAAAATCAACAGAAAAAACTACCCTATGTTCTCTTCCAGTTTTTACTTCATTTTTCTGTTCCTCTTAAAGCAATAGAGAGTAGTTATCTGATCTTGTTTCTGTATCCTCCTCTTCTCTTTAGAAGTTGCTCTAATTATGCCCCCAACCACTCTATAAAACTATTCCTGTTAGTGTGACCCATGATCTGTACTCTGCTATATCCTAGGATCAATTTATAGTCTTCATCTGGTTAGAACTGTCATTTGATAATATTTGATATAGTTGATTACTCTTTTCCTTTTGAAGACTTTCTTTCTTTGGCTTCTAGGACACCTTATTGTCTTGATTTCTATTATAGCTCTTTGTTTCTTCTCAGTTCCTTTTGATAGTTCTTCCTTATTTGCCTAATTTCAAAATCTTGGCATGCCCCAGGGCTCAGTCCTTGGACTTCATTCCTCTATATCTGTGTCTGGTCCTCAAGATCATTCCCAGGTTCAGTGATTTGCTAGGAGGACTTAGAGGACTCAGCACGTAGAGGTACTTAGAGCTATGGTTTATTACAGTGAAAGCATGCAAAGCAAAATTGACAAGGGAAAAGACACATGGGGTGAAGCTCAGTGGAAACCAGGTACAAGCTTTCAAGAGTTCCCTTCCAGTGGTATCTCATAGGACATGCTTAATCCTCCAGCAGTGAATTGTGACAAACTTGTGAGATGTCTACCAGGGAAGAAGCTCACTAGAGACTTGGTACCCAAGGTTATTACTAGAGGCTAGTCACTTAAGTACCCTCTGCCTAGCCTGTACCAAGATTCCAGATTCCCAAAAGGAAGCAGATGTTCAGCATAGACGACATTGTTTACACAGCAGTTTAGGCTTTTTGTCAGCATAGATTAGATTTCTTTTGTCTAGAATTTCATGAGTGGAGTTATGTAGTTAGTGTGTGTTCTTCTGTCTCTGGCTTCTTTCATTCTACAGAATGCTTTTGAGATTCATCCATGTTGTTGAGTGTATCAGTGGTTCATCCCTTTTTATTGTTGAGTGGTATTCCATTGAAGTAATATTCCAGAATTTGTTTCTCCATTCATCTGTTGGTAGACATTTGGTTTATTTCCAGATTGGAGATATTAGGAATAAAGCTGCTATGAAGGTAGCAATCTTTCTTTGGACATTTTTTTTTTTAACATCTTTATTGGAGTATAATTGTTTTACAATGGTGTGTTAGTTTCCGCTTTATAACAAAGTGAATCAGCTATACATATACATGTATCTCCATATCTCCTCCCTCTTGCGTCTCCCTCCCACCCTCCCTATCCCACCCCCCTAGGTGGTCACAAAGCACCGAGCTGATCTCCCTGTGCTATGCGGCTGCTTCCCACTAGCTATCTATTTTACATTTGGTAGTATATATAAGTCCATGCCACTCTCTCACTTCATCCCAGCTTACCCTTCCCCCTCCCCGTGTCCTCAAGTCCATTCTCTACATCTGCGTCTTTGGACGTTTTTTAAATTAAATATCTAGGAGTGGAATTTCTGGGACCTGTGAAAAGTGTATGGTTTATGTTATGAGAAAATGCACCACTGTCTTCCAAGTGGTTATTACCATTTTACATTTCTGCCAGCAATGTGTGAGAGTTCTGGTTGCTCTGCACCCTTACCAACACTTTTTTATTGTCAGTCTTAATTTGAGCCATTCTAGTGGATGTGCAGTGATTTTAATGTTGGTTTTAATTGCATTTCCCTAACTACTAATGATATTGAGCATCTTTTCATGTCCTTATTGACCATTTGTACTGTGTTTTTGAGAAGTGTCTTAAAATCATTGCCCTCTTTTTATGAGATTGTCATCCTATTATTGATTTGTAATAGGTCTGTACATAGATTAGTGGTTTGCAACGAGGGATAATGTCGTCCTCCAGGGGACCTGTGGAAATGTCTGGAGACATTTTTGGTTGACACCATTGAGGGAGGACTCTTCTCTCTTTCTCTCCAACTCCCCCCACCTCACTCCCTTTCCCTCTCCCTAACATCCCTCCCTCATTCCCTCTTCTCTCTTCCTCTTTTTGAAATTCAGTTACATTTTAGGCTACTTCATATTGGCCTTAGATGGCACTGAAGCGCTATTTTTTTTGCCAATTTCTTTTCTCCCCCTTCTTCAGTTTAGATCAATATCTTTACTGTCTTTTGCCCTTTTGCTGCGGTATTCATTTAATCTGCAGTTAAGCCCATCTAGTAAGTTTTTTATTTGAGATGCTGGACTTTTCAACTCTAAAATTACCTTTTTTGATTCTGTTTTAGTTTGTTTCTCAGCTGAGATTTCTTGTCTATTCACTCATTATGCCTTATTTTTTGCTAAATGCAACATATTCATTATAGCTGTTTTATTAGTTTTTGTCTGCTAATTCCACTGTCTGCACCATCTCATTTATTTTGAGTTACATTTTCCTGCTTCTTCACATGTCTGGGAAGTTGTAATTATATGTTGGGCTTGTGCATGATACATTATGTAGGGAGTATGAATTATTATTATTATTATGTAGGGAGTAACAATGCTGTCTTCTTTTAAAAGATGTGAGTTTTATTCTGGCAGGCAGTTAAATTACCAGAGGATCTTTATCCTGCTAGGCTTGTTTTTTTTTGCCTTGTTAAGGATAGGTTGCCTTTTTCACCTTTATTTTTTATTTTAGGGCATGACTCCTACTCAGGGTGTGGTGTTATCTTTTTGGAGTCTTAACTGAATGCCTGAAGAGTGAGTCTTACTGTGCTGGAACTATTGAATCCAGCCACAAATGACCTCTGCTATTTCTACTTAGCTCCCAGGCCTACAGCAGCCTCTCTCTTTTATTCCTCGGGGATTCTCACCCAGCCCAGGTGCAGCCTGGTCTCAGCCAAGGCATAGGAAAACCCCTATACAAATTCTGCGCCATCTCCACTCCCACGCTGGTGCATTTCCCTTCTTTCTTTCTTATACCTTGTTAATAAATTCTAGCTGCTTCAACAGCTCTAGACTCTGATCTCAGCTTTCTCAGTTGAGAGACCCTCACTTGATTTTCCCTTGGGTTTCACCTCGCTGTGGTCGGGAGAGCTTATACAGAAAGCCAGTGTGACCGTGGGGCTTATCTTATGTATTTACTGTTTCAGGTCTTCTGCTCCCTGTTGTCCGGTGCCTAAAAACAGTTGCCTCATGTATTTTGGCCAGGTTTTTTTTATGGTGAGGAATAGTCTGATGCCATTTATTCCATCATGACTGGCAGTGAAAGTCCCCTCTAAAACTTTAGGGAAAAAAAAATACTTTAAAAATATTGAAATTATAATATACTGGTAAGTATACAGAAAAGAAATCAGTTGTGGGTTTTTTTTTGTTTGTTTTTTTCAAATTGCCACTTGTAACATACCAATTAGTGAAGGAGATTTTATGCCTTGCTTTCTTTCCCCCCCCAAAACAAAGGGTGTGGTCAGTAGCTACCTTATGAGATGGTAGATGGTAATTTGTTCATGTAAAAGAGATTATTTGTTGTTACAAATATTCTTTAGGACCTGACGGCACCATCCGAAGAAAATTGTTAGGACTGGTGTATCCATGATAGAGCTTCCCCAGAGGCTGAGCGCCTTAGTTATAACTTACATAAGACATTGCTGCTGGATTGCCGCCATAAGCAGGGCCCCTTAAGACAGGAGCTTGTCATTACGTATACTGGTGTCCTCCCTGTGGATAGGGGTCAGCATTGTTGAGTCTAAGCAGGGGTGACACTTGAAATTTCTTGAGATCATTCAGAATGTCTTCCTTGATTTCCCAGAATCTCATTCTTCTCTCGAGTAATCAGTGTTTGTTGGTTTTCCTGTTTTTATTTCTACCTTTCACATAGCCCATAGTACTGAATATAGTTATCTTAACATGTTCTGAAAAATTGTCTAGCATCAAGATTAAAGTACTAATACATGAGAGTCCCTGAAGTTGCGTGTGAAATGATTACTCTCTGCTTTGAAGTGGCAAGTTAATTTCTCAGCCAGTTCCGATCAGAGAGCTTATTAGCTTTTGTATGTGTTTTATTTTGCTCTGGTTTTTTTGGTTGACAGGTTGGGCTGAGATGATCTATTCATGTGTATAAATATGTATTTATGAGTACATAAAAGTTAAAATGTACATATGGAAGACATTCTTAGCAATACTTTCCAGATTTGTTTGTTTTTCATTTTTGTCCAGTGTATATCATTTTTCTTTTTGCTAGATGCCTGGCTTTTTCAAGATTGGTTAAGAATTTTCAACTTGTTGTTTATTGCCACTGGTCTTGTATATAGTACACTTCTGAACATAAAGAAATATCCCTCATTCATGTAAGATTCGAAAGAAATCAGTTATCTTTTCTGGCTTATGCTTTTTAACATATTACAGTCGCATTTAATTGGTTTATTTCTCCCCATGAGTTCTTCAAAGCCTTGTGAATCCTTGTTTTTCTCAGTTAGATGCTGAGAAAATTGTTCGTGTTGTCACACATTAGGTACTTTTATTTTTGGGGGGTACTTTTTTAAAAATAAAAAAACATACTTGAAACAGCTAAAGATACACATAAAACAATATTTTATAGTGAGGCTTATTTTCTAGAATAGTTAGGTAAAAAGGTATTTCTCATAAGGTGCTTTTCAAGTAATAGAATACTATTTAAATGTCAAAATTGGATTATAACATTTTTAAGGTGAAAGTGAGCCTTGAGACATTTAGCTTGGACCCAATTTTATAGATCAGGTAAGTAAGAACCTGAAGGTGGCGAAGTAGGAACCTGAAGGTGGCAAAGAAAGGTACTGTCAGAGCCAGGATTCTGACCCAGAATCTCCTCCCTGCTGGTATAGTACTCAGCTAAAGAGAGACAACTGTGTAGGGCCATACATGCTATACCAAGGTGAGCCGAGACATTCTTGGCTCTTTTGCTGTTAATGTGGGCTATCCTTACAAGGTCCCTCACCTGCAATCCCTCTTCCCTTTTTTTCTCAGGTTCCCTAGGCTTACCCATTCCTGATCCCCCAATTTGATGAATTCCTTTTCACATTTTTAAAAAACCCAACTCAGATGGCTTCTTAGAAATATTCTCAAGTTCCTTTTTCTGCCCTCTTTTACTCCTCTGGTTATTACTGTACTCTGTGCATCCTTCTGTTATTATTGCATTAAAATTGGTTGTTTGTATTTTTTTCCTTTAAATCTTAAGTTCCTAGTAATATCCAGTCTTCTTACGTTTGTTTTTTTTTATTGAAGTTTAGTTGATTTACAGTATTGTGTTAGTTTCAGGCATACAGCAGAGTGATTCGGATATATATGTATATATATATATATATGTATATATACTTGTTTTTCATTCTTTTCCATTATAGGTGGTTACAAGATATTGAATATAATTCTCCGTGCTATACACTAAATCCCTGTTGTTTATCTTCTCATATTTTTTAATCCCATGGCCTAGTATAGTTAGTGTCTTTGGAGTTAATTAAATTGAGATCTGCAGTGTTGGGAAACAAGAGGTTTAAAATAAGCTCTGATAAAGGCCTGAATGTTTGTTTTGAATACAGTGTGACTTCTTGCTGTTTTGTTTTGTTCTTTTCTCTTTTTTGCCTATTTCCAGATTTCTAGATACATTCTGGATAGTTGAGGTTGCCAAGTCTGTGTCGGTCCATGAGCAGGCTGCAGCTAAATCTCCTGTGGATTTTATAGAAATGCAGTGGGTTTTCTGATTTAGCGAGTCTGGCATGAATCCAGGAATCCCAGGATTCTTTCTGTTTTATTTTGTTCACTTTAAATCTACGTGGTTGTTTTGATGATCCACTAGGTTTGGGAGCCACAGTTTCAGGTAACAAGCTGTTCAGTCAGAGTGGGATTACTTGGGGTAGACTTCTATCTGCCGCTTAAGAGCTTACAGGTTTCTTATTTCTGGTTCCCAAAGTGTCTGGAACATAATTTGCAGAAATGAGATGCCTTTGAAAGATGTTTTTAATCTGGGTTTTGATTAATTCGAAAGATGGTGACTGATTAACCTCTATTTTTTATTATCATTTAAGGAGTGTTCAGCCTTGGTGTTCCTGTAGACGCTCTCTTCTTCATCGGTAACCAGTTGGTGGCCACGAGTCATACAGGGAAAGTGGGAGTGTGGAATGCTGTCACCCAGCACTGGCAGGTTGGTTTTAACTAATGCATATTATTGCAGAAATGAAATTATTTCTGAAACTCACGCTGATTATGCATCTGCTTTATTGTGGAATTCATATTGTTTCTGTTTTGATTATACAGTAAGTCCCCTATATACGAACAAGTTCAGTTCCAAGAGTGTGTTTGTAAGTCCAATTTGTAAGTCCAATAAAGTTAGCCTAGGTACCCAACTAACACAATCTGCTATATAATACGGTACTGTAATAGGTTTATAATACTTTTCACACAAATAATACATAAAAGCAAACAAAAAATAAAACATTTTTAATCTTACAGTACAGTACATTGAAAAGTACAGAAGTACCGCACAACAGCTGGCATCCAGGGGCTGCCATCCAGTGAACAGGCAGGAAGAGTTACTGACTGGAGGAGGGAGAGGAGGTGGGAGATAGTAGCGCTGAAGGATACTCAGCAGTGGGTGACGGAGGGCAAGCTGCAATTTCACTCACGCCTGACGTTGATGGCACAGGTTCTGGTTCCTTGCTGGATTCAATTCTGTCTACCCTCTTGAAAAAACGATCCAGTGATGTCTGGGTAGTAGCTCTTTTTTTCTCCTCATAGATGACACGGTAGCACTGGATGCATTCTGAACGTCTGCTGCAACTTTGGTGTACTGTTCTCCTTTCGGGTCCTGTGCCTCAGAAACTAACAGTGCCTCCTCAGATAAAGAGAATCCCCTTGCCATTTCCTGTGTCGTGAATCTCTTCTTAGCAGTACCAGCTACATCACCGCTGCCTTTACGCTTGCTTCCAGATATCCTGGGCTCGAAATAAAGATACTGTACTCTGTACAGTACTGTGCAGTAAAGTACACAAAAGCACAACCACTTGTAGAGGGTGCACGCACGTGACAGTGCACGCCAGACACGTGAACTAACTTACGTGATTGGACATGCGAACGCACGTTTGCTTCTTTGAAAGTTTGCAAGTTGAAGGTTCATATGTAGGGGACTTACTGTATAGAATATTGAATATATTTGCTGCTAAGTTTGCTTCTGGATACAAGTTTGACTACATTTTCAAGAATTTTAAGTCACTTTGGAAGATGAGTGAGTTTGTAAACTGGTTTGACATTTCTTTATTGCCTTGAAATGTTTCAAGTTTCATGCCTTGGGAATAGTAGTCCAGGCAAACTTCATCTCCTGAGTGGGAGCACAGTTCTGTGTGAAAATACATAGCCTGTTCAAGGAAAAGATAGCGAGCTAAATGGTTTCAAGTACTTGAGAGGAACAGGAAGGAGATAAGACTAAAAAAAAGCTTATTGCCTGATTCTGAAGGAGAGGGGAAAAATGAAAGGGCTTTAAGCAGAGAGTGACTTGGCCAGAGCCATGTTTTAGAAAGAGAACAGTGCTAGCTAATATGAAAAGTGGACTGGATCAGGGAAGTAATGCAGCAAAAGAGGCAGAGCTTCAACTAAAATGAGTAGACGGCAAAGATGAGACTAGCTGAAAAACATTTCATAAGCCTTCCTAAAAGGATTGGTATCTGATTAGATGGAGAAAAATTAAAGGAGAGAGAGGTGGATTTCTAGTTCTGACAGTTGAGTGGCTGGTAATATTTTACATTGATAGGGAATGGGGGAGGAGAATCATATATGCTGGTAGATAGCGTGAGGAATAATTAGAATGACTAAATATGTTTACTTTGAGATTCCTGTGGGTATCCATATACAGGAGCTCAATATATAGTTGGAAGCACCCCTCTGAAATTTATGGAAGAAGAAAAGGGCTAGAAAAAAGTATTTGGAAACCATAATACTTGGTAATTGAAAAATGGGAATTGGTAAGATTTTCCATTGAGAGGATATCTGCAGCGAAAGAAAAGCCAAAGTTAAAATCCTGAGGAACATTAGCTCTTAAGGGAACAAGATAGGAAACCAAGAGCCAAAGTGACACATATGATACGATTGAGAAATGACATTGGTTTTGTCAGTAGGATATCATTTGCAGATGTATTAATAAGTTAATTAGGTTTTGATTGGGGGGGGCAGATTGCAGGAACTAAGGAATTAAAAGATCAGAGATTAGAGTTAGCAAATTCAGAGTGTCTTTCAAGAAGTTTGGTGGTGAAGGAGAGCAGAGAAGCAAAGTGATAGTTTAAGGATCAAGGCTAGATGGAGGAAAAGATATTCAGTGCTTTATTTTACTTTTTCTCTAGGACGGGAGAAGTTTGAGCATGCTTGTTAGTCAGAGAGGGGAGTTGACAGAGAAAGCATTTGAAGGTTGAAAGAATGGAGATGGTTGCTAGTGCCATAGAAGCAAATGGGGTCTAGAACACAGCTGGAGGGGTTGCCCCAACAGAGTAGAGAGACTTCTTTCCCTGCGCTGGAAGAGTGAGGAAGGTGTACTGTGGAGGAGAAAGACATTGGAAGTGTGTTTCAAGGATTGCAGAGATTATAAATCTTTATAATGGACCTGGCTGGTACAGCTATGTGAGTTTCTTCCTTAATCCTCAGTACTGGGAACAGAAGCAAGAGAAAAGAAAACAGTGTCGGCCTGATTCAGGATTGGAGATGTAATAAAATGGGTATGACACACAAAGGGATGAGAAAACATGAAGTGGCAAAGTAATTGAAACTGTAAGATCAAGAAGTGAAGGAGTGCCAGGTCAGCAGAGGGGGATGCAGGGATTCAAGGGACTAGAGGGACGTGAAAGCAGGTTGGTAACTTACAAGGAGTGGGAATTGTTGTGGTCAAAGACTGGAGTTAAGGTTTTGGAGTTGGAGCAGTTCTCATTGACGTAGCCATTTAAATCATGTGTTGAACTGACTTAAAGATGAAAGTAGTTGAAATAGTGGCCAGAGAACTGTAAGGGTCATCAGGGTGAACATTTAGGTGCCAGAACAGTAATGGAGAATGGGACAAAAAGCTAACTGATCCAGGTGCCCAGCTCCTCAGTAGAAGTGGTGTGTTGATCTGGAAGCTGCAGTCTGGGCAGAGGTAGGGTAATTGAATGTCGTGATTGGGCTGAGCTTGTGGAGGGACATTCTTAAGGTCGTACGGCCGCGCCTGAGACGCTGGGGAAATGGTGAGAGAATGAATGACTTAACGATGAGAGAGATTGCAATCAGAGAAAGTTAAATTTCATTCTAGATGGAGACATGGAAGTCATGTTTGTAGAAAAAATATATTAGCCAAGAGTGGACCTTCCATATAGGCACAGAAAAGGCATTATAAAGGTTGTTACCATGAAAGTGATGGGCCAAGGAATGTGGGGAAGGACTGATCTAGGTTGATCTAAAGTTGAGGTGGAGGGAAGTCGATCAGAGGGATTCTTCAGCTGGTGATATTTCTGTAAAGAGGAATGTGGATTTTAATGATTTATGGAAGACCTGCTCTCAGGTAAGTTACTTGGCTACTTATGTCAAGTGAACTTTTAGTGGCTCTGAGAAGCTGTGCTATCTGTGCCATAAAACTCCGAAGGTGCATTTAGGTTTCTAAAGAAACATGTTTTTTTTTGTTTTGTTTTGTTTTTGCGGTACGCGGGCCTCTCACTGTTGTGGCCTCTCCCATTGCGAAGCACAGGCTCCAGACGCGCAGGCTCACGGGCCCAGCCGCTTCGCGGCATGTGGGATCTTCCCGGACCAGGGCACGAACCCTTGTCCTTTGCATCAGCAGGCGGACTCTCAACCACTGTGCCACCAGGGAAGCCCAGGAATATGTTTCTTTATTACCTTCTTTGTTTTTTACTAATGTCACAACTGCATATAAAAGTTTTCATATTTTGAGATCCCAAAAACTATACTAGCATCCTCAAAGTGGATACTTCACCTTAAGCGTTTAGTCCTGTATGTATAACCTGTTGCTTCTTGTTTGGTATATGCATGAGTTGAAAACCATAGATGACAAAGTAGGTTTGTTATTACATTTCAGGAAGACCTGGGGTAAGTCGAGCATTCATGCGGCAAACAAGCCTCATAACTTTTAGCCCAGATAGATGATTTATTTTTTTGGTAGTGCAGTGCAGAGCTAGGATGTAATGAAATCTCAGTGTCTGATCTGCAAACCTCAACGGACAGTTCTGACCTGAGGCTGGCTGCTGTGGCACTGGATGAGCGGGTTCTGATCTGGCCTTTAGCAACAGTTCTGCCCATGAGTGACACAGAAGGTACACAGGACAACTAGTGTAGTTTGTGACTCTCGCTGTACAGTCGAGATTGATTTGAGGTATTTGAGTCAGACAAACGAGCCTGAGAGCGAGAGAGCAAGCGTTTTTGAGCCTGAAAGCCGTTGTGATATTTTGGTGTAGCAGTTTTTTATTAGGACAGCTTCAATAAAATGTTAATGAAAATTTTATAAGAGTGTTGTATCTGATTTGGGTAAGAAAAAAGAAAATTATTTTTTAGAAGGAAAGTTTCAGTGTTTTCTTCTTTTTTTTGTTTAATTCCTCTTCATTAGACTTCAGACGATTAGTAATAAGGAATTAGTGTTTCAAATACATGGCCTAGGCTGAGTTACGTGGCAGAATAGTAACTTTAGGCATTATTTCCCAAGTTGTTCAAGTTTAAATTTAGATGTATATTGGAAACATAGATTATACATGTTTCATTCTCATATCAAAGCAGAGAGACAGTGTTGGAAGTTAGTCCTGGAAAGTCATTGTGTATTGTGATTGCTAAAGGACCAGAGAGCTCTGTCTGTGTTTATTCTGAAAGACGAGAGATCTTCAGCCAGAGTCACCATCTGAGTCACAGCCTGGCCTCTAAATGAACAGTGGAGGACGAGCTTGAGGAGGAAATACTGGCTGTGGGAACAGGGAGTCAGAGTGAATTTCTGTGCTCTTATGGGCTGTGCCGGACAAGAACTAGGGAGGCTTATTTGATGTAGCTTCTCTTCTTTTGTGCTCTGATGCACTTGTAGCACTGATGTCACAAGTAGGGTTTGGTGGGATTTACTTTTTTGTTTTTGTAATAGGTTTATGAACCCCTGCAAGTTAGGAACAAGAATAAGGTGGGCATTGGAATCTTAGGCCCAGAATTCATTGGAGAGGACTGACATTTGGGTGTCTTATTATGTCCTGAACACTATCCCAAGTACGTTGTATTTCTTACTTGGGATTTACAGTAATGTAGCTGAATTAGATCAATTATTGGTAAGAAGACTTGACATTTTGGTGTCTATTATGTACTGACCACTACCCTGAGTATGTTATATTTGCTTACTTAGGATTTACAGTAACATAGCTAAATCAGCTGACATACAGAAATATTGGGTAAAAAGTATTAAAGCAGCATATATTGTATCTGTCAAGTATTGAATTACATTTATTTGTTTGTTTGTTTATACATATTTGCATGTCACGTATCAGAGTAAAGGCTCTGGGGTCTGGGGTTCTACCAGGAATAGGAGGCATGGCTTCATGGGACAGTGTAAACCAGCCTCCTGCAAAAAGCTGACGCTTTAAAGGTCTGCCTCAGTCCCTGAGAAGAAGAATGGGAAAATTTTGCTCAACAGTTTTGGAACAAGAAAGCTTGACCTGTGTTTAGTGTCTTGGATTGGGGAGAGGTGGTGCAGGGGAAAACCATCAATGAGAAATTGAGACCAAAATAATCAAATTAGGAGTACAAATGTGTGAATTGAAAACACAAAGGTAAGTATGGGAACTCCAATTTGAGAAATTAATGTAAAAAGCTGGTCTAGGGCCATTTGCATTTCCAGATGTGGACATGAAACTGAACTTTCACAAGATATGGCGCACAGGACTCTGCAGAAGAAATATTTTCTGCTGAAAGTGAGCCCATAACCTCCCCAAATTTGTAAACTACACATGAAACGTGAAAGCAAATGAGGGAAAGTCATCAAATGTTAGCTGTTAGAGTACAGATGTACCCCAAAGCTGAAAATAATTGAACAATTAGACAACTAATGTAGAATAAATTTCTGAAGTTATTTAATGAGATAGAAGAAGGACTAGACTATAATGAAGGAATAGGACCAGTCAGAAAAGAAGCAAAATGAAAGAGTAGAAATTTAAAGGTCATTGAAAATTAAAAACAAACCAAAACTCTGACTTAATGTGTTGAATAGAAGGACAATGAATCGACAGACACATTTGAAAAAAATCATTCACGCTGAAGCAGAAAGAGTGAGAGAGAAAATATGAAAAGAAAAATATGAGAAAATCACTTTCAGAAAGGAACAGTGGAGGTGGGGCAATTTAGAAAAGGTAATTGCTAACAATTTTGGAGAGTTGAAGAAAGACATGACTCTACTGATTAAAGAAATATATCAAGGCTAAATAAAATGAGATTCACACTTACACACATGGTGATGTGTTGGGTTGGCAAAAAAGTTCATTAGGGTTTTTCCATAGGATCTTACGGGAAAACCTGAACGAACCTTTTGGCCAACCAATAATAGAAGATAAAAGTATCATAAAGGTGTCCACAGAGTAATGAGAGGTACACTGTAGTTAGACTTAAAACAGACTGTTCATCACCAGCAGTAGAGTCCAGAAGACAATAGGCTATTCTCAAGTTAGTTGGGGAAATAACTTTCAACTTAGGATTTCATATCCAGCAAAACTATCATTCAAACATGAATGAGAGATGTTTTCAGATAATACAAAGTATGTCACTTATAACCTTCAGTGGAAGGACCTCTATAGAAATGCCCTTTGATAAGGTTATTTATACTTAGAAGAGGAAGTAGTGGAATACAATAAACATGACTAGCCAAAGAATTTGTAGATGTGTTGGTGACTCTAAATAAGTCTAAAAAGTAATGGGTGAGAGTTAAAACATACTGATGTTAAAAACAGTGATCATCATGCAGGTAGAGATTGTGGTTAAAGGATTCTAGGGGCCTTGTATTGCTTGGGAAGATAGAGTGATTTTCAAAATGTAAATCATTTAAATTTTTACATAGGAGTTAATGATAATCACTGCATGCAACGTTAGGAGAGAAAACCCACTTCCACCTTAGGTTTGTGGCCACCGTGACTGAACCAAATATACTAATCAGTATGGTGTCTCAGGTTCCTGACATGAAGCTGTTGGGGTAAAGAAGAGGAGGCCATGAAAGGCTGGCTCCTTGCTTATGCTGGGAGAGAAGAACTTAGTACCAACTCCTCTGTAACCTAACTTTACTTATCCTCTGCTTTCCCTGTTCTCCTTGTACTGAGGGGTAGACGTGAGGGGGAAAGCAGGACATGCTCAGGGGTTGCAGGAAAAGAGGTAGGAAGGCTCTAGTCCTGGAGCCCATCCTCCCAGAGAACTGAAAGGTCAGATATCTGTCTTGGACGTGCCTGGGAAAGCTCCAGGCCGCTGCTGCTCTTTCACTGAAAAATGGGTCCAGAGGGAGAGGAATCTCATGGCCTTACCTATCCCCAGCCTCTGACTGTGAAGATTCTGGGTAGAATTGAAGCTCTTCTTGGAGTGCTGGAGCTAAAACGATGCACTTGGTGTAAGAAAATTGGTCAGTGAAGCAGCCTTCCCTCCATTTTTCAGACATCTTTACTCATATCACTGAGAAGTTGTCGGTGTTTACCTGCTACGAAACGTGTTGGCTCTGATGAGACAGAAACCTGACCTGGGGTTGGGGGTGATCATTGAGTCTTTGCAGAGATATTTCTAGTGTAACTTATAACCATGCAGGACACCAGAAGGCACACACAGAAATTAGGGTCATGGACATGAACACCTTCTAGGAATCATTATTTCCAAGTTTTAGCTTTTTTTAAATTTGTGTTTTTAGTTAGACTCTTTTGCTGTATTTGCTGTTCTGTCAGAAGTGTGCTTTTCCCTTTCTCTACCTAACTCCTAGTTAGTTTTATAGTTTTCAAGCTTTACTTTCTTTTTGAACTTTTCCTTGATATTTGTGCTTCTCCCTGGACTGGGGTTGAGATGGGAATCCTTTCTCCCTCTTCTATGATTGTATTGCACACCCTGTGTTTATACATTAAATAATGTATAATGTATACTGTGATAGGCATTAATGTGCCTATCACATTATAATTGTCTTTATTTTTCTTTCTTGCCCACAAGTTTCTAAGCTTCTACAGAGCAAAAGTGATATTTCACATCCCTTATCCATTCCAGTACTTGTTCACCTGGATAATATCTGGTACATAAAAAGTGTTTCATTTAAATGTTGTGTGTAAACTTTCACATGCATGTCTGGCCTGGCTGTACATAGGGATGATTCAGTTTGATCTCATCGCCAGTACAATAACACTTTTTGTTTGTTTTTCGTTTTGTTTGTAAAAATCATGCCCTTTGCTTTTCTCTTGGCACACACATAGGCATTCATTAATTTGTAACTAGACTGATTTGCTTGGAAAACTGGTTTTTTTTTATTCTAGCACTTGAAAAAACAAAAGCATTTGAGAACTTGTTTGGCCATTTCCTAGGAAATAGAGGTGAAGTATTTAGTGGGGAATATGAAAGTAGAGAAGACCACCTTTTCAAAGAAATGGTAATGAACTACCAAGGGAGCGAGTGCCATCTGGAAATCGGTTGATCTGTTTTCTAGTTCTGATTCTGGGCAGGTCATTTCATCTCTTCTATGAGAGAGACAAGGGAGAAAGGGGCCTGGTCAGACTTGGTTTTCCAGTCCTAAAGTGTGCTGTGACCTCACAGTCATGTGCAGAAAAAGGAAATGAGTAAATTCTGAAAGGAAAGTGCTGCTGTTGGAAATAAAAAATTTTTTAGAAAAGCTTTAAAAGGTCAGAGTTCCCCTTGGAGGGGTGTGTGTGTGTGTGTGTGTAAAGAAAGTATTTTCTAAGCCCTACTTAAATCGGATATTAGTATCCTTTTTATTAAAAGACTCAAAAATTTTGAGGAAATTGAGCAGAAAATATAGATTGTAATTAATAACTGACATCTAACAGTATTCTCACTACATCAGGTTCAAGACGTTGTTCCTATAACTAGTTATGACACTGCTGGGTCGTTCCTTCTACTGGGATGTAACAATGGATCAATATATTATATAGGTAAGTGGTCAGACACTTAGTATGGTCCTATTTAGTATGATTTTTAAAATGAGAACAAGAAAATATTACCTTTTTTAGTTTTAAATAGATTCACTATTTATTTTAATGCTATTTAATTTTTTTTATTTTTTAGATATGCAGAAGTTCCCTTTGCGAATGAAGGATAACGATCTTCTTGTAACTGAACTTTATCATGATCCTTCAAATGATGCTATTACTGCTCTGAGTGTTTACCTCACACCCAAAACAAGTTAGTGCATAGCAAAATTATTATAAATTGTTGAAGTTCTTTTGATAATGTATGTTTATTCGTTGGTTTATTGTAACACTAATCTGGCCCTTTGTTTTGGTGAACTGCAGTGCTGAGGATTTCATCTCTTAGAGTCTAAAGTTTATGTTTGGTTTTATACTGAGGTCAGACATGACCAGTAAACATAATCTGAGGTGGGAAGTTAGAACTTTTCCTCTTCTGAACTGTATTGTTAAGCCCTACTATTATAATAATAACAAATTATTTGTTAAACTTATCTGCACATTTACCTTCCTATGACAGCTGATTTCATTTTGGAATTAAGAGCTTTATTTTTTTTTTCACAACAATAACAACAACGAAAGCTTTTAGACTTTTAATCTCTATTGGAAAATGAGCTTATTTCTCTGGGAAATTTTAAATTTAAGTTTTGGAAAACCTCAGTATCCATAACTTATTGCTTTTTCAAAGGCCATTGCAATGAAATTAACAAACTAGCTCTGTAAATTATTAAGAATTTTTATATTCTAGAGTGAAAGATAAACGTAAATGGGAAATTCAAAATTTATCTGTAATGAAAGGAATTCTAGGAAATACTTACATGTGGCTAGTAATATTAATAGTTTGAATACGTTACTTGTATAATCATTTCATTGAATGCATTGTAATAAATCATTATCTTCGGTATGAAAGAAAGAAAGATTCTGGTGTGCACAGATGATTTTGATTGAAATTGTAGGATTTAAACTATGTTGCTCCAGAACAGAGGCCAGCAAACCATGCTCTTTTTATTAATAGTTTTATGTATTGTCTTTGGCTGCTTTTCTGCAACTGTGACAGAGTTAAGTGGCTGTACAGAGACAGTGTGGCATGCAAAGTTTAAACTATTTGCTTTTTATAGAAAGTTTGCTGACCCCTGCTCTAGAATGAGATATGCTCCCCTCCCTGCCCCCAGTCTAATTAAAAAGGGAGAATAAAACTTCTTTTGTGGTGGCAGTGTCTTCTTTTAAGACACAAGAATGGAGTTGCCTTTTAAGTTTTGAGAAGTGTTTTCCATAGCATGCCCTTTTCCTTCGATTCCAGTATTTTCAGGTGAATCAGAAAGAACAGCTATCAAAGCTAAGAGGTTCTCTGTGACGCTTTTAAGGAATGTAGGTCACTGAACTCCATTAAATATATGATGGAATCTGGGCACTTGTTTGAAAAAAAAGCCACAGATGAACCTGACGTCATGAGCTAGTTGTATATAATTAGAAGAGAACAACATAGGTAAATGTGATGTAAGCAATGTAATGGGTATATTTTCCCATAGTTATAACAGTTTTGAAACTGTTAAATAGTACATGGATTACTTGATTATTCAAAGAGAAGATTCAATATTGTGGCAGAAGTAAAACAGATGGTCATTCGAGGCTAGAAATAATATGGAGTATTGCTTTAGGAATACTATGTTGTGTCAGTGGTGTTCTTAGCATGTCAGATTTATTCCTTAAACATTTAATGAGTACCTACTATGTCTCAGGCACTCTGTAAGGTGATATAGATTAAAAAATGATTATGATTCAGTCTCTTATCAATAAAGAGTAGAGGTAGATAGACATGGAAATAAGAGAATTGGGGTGTTACAGTTGCTCTGATAGAACCTAATACATAGTACAAGGGAGAGAGTGAACAATTCTATATTGGAGTGAGTGTTAGGAAGAGATTTGTAAAGGAAATAATGAATTTAAGATGGTCAGAGAAGTCTTAAGATTTCTTTGCTGAGCTGAATTTGGGGCAGATAACAAGTGCTGAATCCAGCTCTGCCTCTTCTATCACAGGGAACACTTTGCAAGGGCAGCTTTCTTTTTATTGTCTTCTATTATATCACCTTTCAATTTTTGGTTTTGGTTAGGTGTCAGTGGTAACTGGATTGAGATTGCCTATGGTACGAGCTCTGGAGCAGTACGAGTAATTGTGCAGCACCCAGAGACGGTTGGGTCAGGCCCTCAGCTTTTTCAGACCTTCACAGTTCACCGAAGTCCCGTCACAAAAATCATGCTCTCAGAGAAGCATCTTGTATCAGGTAAAGTGATTTTATTAGTACTGGTAAGGAGGTCTACCTTATGTCATGTAAAACCTTGCCTTGGGTGTTATTTTTTAGACTCCTACAAATTAAAAGAATATAAAAGCAGTGTTTTATGTAAGAAAAACACACCAGAAAAAGTGGTAGAAAAGTTTAATAACTGAAGAAATACTATGATTGTCTTCTAAGGTTTCTTTGATATTGTCTGGTTGTAGTATACATAAATTTAGAAGGCATCATATCTTTTATTTACTCTCTATTTTAATGTTTGGTTCTTATGGCATATTTTACTTCAGAATATTTATCATAATCCTGTTGAAGAATGTTTTATTAGAGAAAATTTTCAAGTATGAACGTAATATAAATTTGGTTGTGTTGTCTTAAGGTTTAATGCTAAAGTTAGTAGAATGTTAGTAGTCTAACATCAACTACTGTTAAAAATCAGTAAAACGTGTAAAGAGATGTGAAGAAAATAACATTTGTGGGTTTGTTGTTCTTCATAGTCATATATGTTTCTAACATTTAGATACTAATTTGATACTTAAAAAATTAGTTACAGATTTTCAAGCAAAATTAGCCTGACACAAAATAAAATGATCACAAAGTAAAATTCCATCATGAGATTCAATGTCTATGATAGATGATTTCTGAAAGCGTTGAAAATTGAATTGAGTCAGGTGTATCAGTAGTTTGCTTTTTTAAAACAATCTTGCATTAAATCTTTTGTAGATCAGTTCCTGCCTAACTTAAATTTTTATAAACATCCTTTTCATGCATCAGCTTTGTTTATATGAAGACTACCTAATATAAAAAGGTGATGCATCTTTCACTAATTAAACACCAAATGGAGCTGAAATACCTTGTCCATAATATGAATGGATGGATGGATGGATGAATATGCTTTTGTTGAATGTCTCATTGTTTTGGATGTAATTATGCCTTTCTGAAACAGTCTCTTTTTTAATCTTTCATAGAGCAGTACTCATCTAATATCTGCCTCGCTGAGGAGTTTTTCTCACTCTGTATGGCTGGTTCCTCCTCTTTTGCCCAGTTACTAAGTGTTGGATTGCCTCAGATCTCTTTCTAGATTTTCCATTCTTTGTCTGTACTTTCCCTGGTGATTTGAATATTATTATCTACATGCCAGTGACTCCCAGACTTTCCCTTCACCTGTGACCATCCACAGAGTTCCAAACTTGTATATCCAGTGCTTGTGCTTAGTATTTGGTTGTATGTTTAATAGGCATCTCTAAATTAACCTAGATAAAATAGTACTTTTGATTTCTGTCTCAAAAGCCATCTTAGTATACAATATCACTACTCATTTACCCAAGCTGAAAATCTAGGAATCACACTTGATTCTTCCCTTTTTCTCACTGCACCCGCCTCCCCCCGCCCTCCACATACATGTAATACATCAGTAGGTCCCGTTTCTCTGCTTCAACGTACATCACAAGTCTGATTACTTCACTTTGTGTCCATTGCTGCCAGCCCCTTAGCTCAAATCAGCATTTCTCCCCTAGGTTACTCCATTCTTTCCCTGTTTCTGTCTTGGCTCTCTATGGTACATGTTCCACACAGCAGCCAGAAATATCTTTAGAAATGCAAAGCAGGACTTCCCTGGTGGCGCAGTGGTTAGGAATCCGCCTGCCAGTGCAGGGGACATGGGTTCGAGCCCTGGTCCAGAAAAATCCCACATGCCATGGAGCAGCTAAGCCCGTGTGTGCCACAGCTACTGAGCCTGTGCTCTAGAGCCCGTGAGCCACAACTACTGAGCCTGTGTACCTAGAGCCCGTGCTCTGTGGCAAGAGACGCCACCGCAATGAGAAGCCCGTGCACCGCAACGAAGAGTAGCCCCTGCTCACTGCAACTAGAGAAAGTCCACACAGAGCAACGAAGACCCAACACAGCCAAAAATAAATAAATAAAAATTATTTTAAAAAAAAGAAAAAGAAAGAAATGCAAAGCAGATCTGATTTCCGATGGCTTCTTTCTGTATACAAATTAATACGGCTCTTCCTGTTCCGGATCCTGCTCACCTTGCACATCACTTCTCCACGCCTCGCATGTCACTTTTCTTACTGCTCATGATACCTGACTCATTGGCTTTTCTATTTCTTAAAATCGCCTTAGAAACTTTGCACTTGTTCTTTTCATTTGACATCTTCTTTCTTAGATGTTTGTTTCGCTGTCTGTCCTTGACATTCAGGTCCCATTTTAAATACCTCCTCAGTGAGGCCTCCTTGGCCACCCTGTCTAAACTAGCCAGCCCTCCCTCTAACAGGCACTTTCTGCTATCAGTATCTTGATTTGTTTTCTTCACAGACTCATTACTTTGTTTCTTATTTATCATCTCTTTCCCTCTTCTAGAATATAGTAGGTTTCTACAGCAGCAGAAGCTTTTGTTCTCCACCCTATTCTCAGCACTTAGCATAGTCCTTACGAATAAATATTGTATAAAAATGAGGTAATTTGGTCCTGTGAGAAAATAGACTATTTCTTTGCAAGATTGTTTTGATGTTTAAATGACAATGCCATACTCAGTAGCAGTTGATATTATTTTGATGGTAATGATGTCATTGTTGGATGTGATGTCAAAGAGCTACATAGTTAAATTTGCATTTTAACAACAGGTATTTCATGTAGGTTTGAAATGTTAGATAATGATTAATACTAACAAAATTGCATAATTGCATTATTTTTTGAATTTTATTTTTTATACAGCAGGTTCTTATTATCTACTTTATACATATTAGTGTATATATGTCAATCCCATAGTTGCATTTTTGAGTCAGCTAGAAGTATTTGTTATTTTTCTGAATCCTAGTAAGCTTAATAAGGAAATTAGGAAATTATTTCCCATGAAGCTGATTCAGTAGCCTAGAAGTAAATGTCTTCTTTTTCACCAGAAAACTGGCATCCTGAGAACTGAGAATTTTGTTGTATAAGTAACATATGTACACTTTTTATTCTTATTGCTGTTTGCCAAAATTAAATTTCTGAAGTTTTGTTTAAAATATGCAACTGTGACATTTTATCCAGTAGGAAATGTTGTGTGCATATAAGAAATTTTGGATACTTTCCTAGTAGATACTGATGAGTTCATAATAAATGGCAAATTAATACATTTTTTATTAAGGCACGCCACAAAAGTACAGTTCTTACATTAATGATATCAGTTTTTTGGTTTATAGTTTTTAGCAGAGTATCTATTCAGACAGAAAAAACAGCAGAAATAGATTACTTGTTAGGAGATATCTCAATATATACCCACTTAATATTACCGTGAAAAAATAAAGCTAATTGGAATATGTTTCTTAAATGCAGACTCTCATATAAAAATAATTCTCAGCTTTAGTATTGAAATCTTAATTTTTCTTGATGCAACTGTGAATGAGCAATAAATAACTGGTTCCTATAAGCTTTTTGACAAATGTTATTTGTGCCAATAAATTCTCAGTAGCTCCTGATCTTGGTTGTTTAATATTGGAGTAACATAAGCAGAAACAATTTATATGGTTGGAAAAAATAAACTAGGCAACTTGTTTACAATGGAGTTTAGCCACAGAACAGAAAAATACTCAGCATATTCTCTCTTACATACACATTTTTTTTTTAACCTTCTCTAAATTCATACCCTACAGGCTACTTTTATAAGGATCCATAGATTTTACTTATATACCTTATATTTGCAGCAAGGTAAACCATATTCAATTATCTCATTTTTGTTGGCTAGGTACAAATTAAGTGTAATTTTAAGATAAGTAAGCTGTTTGCCACCCAAAATGTGCTACGATCTGTTTTCTGTAAATTATAGTGAAAAAAGTTAAAATATGTTTATAAAAGTGATTTTGTTGGTGCTCTCATAATCTATATTTAACAACTGTTGTGTGCTCTCTTTCTCTCCTAGTCTGTGCAGATAATAATCATGTCCGGACATGGACGGTAACACGATTCAGAGGAATGATCTCTACTCAGCCAGGTTCTACTCCTCTAGCATCGTTCAAGATACTGTCCCTGGAGGAGACAGAAAGCCATGGAAGCTATTCCTCTGGAAACGACATAGGTGAGCTAGATCTTTCGGGGGAACATTTTCAAGTACTGTGTAGGCAATGCTGAAGAAGTATATTATCTGTAGTAGAAACCTAAAAAGGAGTTTTAAATGTAAGTTTTTCATTTTCACTTTGAAGCTCATTTAAAACAGAAGTTTAATCTTTTTCTGATTAAGTTCTATAAAGTCACAAAATATACATTTTTTTTGACTTTATGAAGGTACAAAAGTGATGCACATTTAATAGAAACAGTACTTTGAATTTTGAACTTTTCCCGGGCTAGGGATATGTGGTACCATATTCTCTTGTGGTGTCAGGCGGCAGCAGCAGGCTAAAGTTCCCAGGCAGCCGCGTGACCACAAAGGTAAACAAGTGATGTGCTTAGAATCAGTCTGTACCCACATAGCCATTCTCTTTTTCACTTTCAGTATTCAATACATTACATGAGATATTCAATACTTTACTATAAAATGGACTCCGTATTAGATGATTTTGCCCAACTGTAGGCTAATGTGAGTGTTCTGAGCACACTTAAGGTAGGCTAGGGTAAGCTATGATGTTTGGTAGCTTAGATGTACTAAATGCATTTTTTTGTTTTTTTTTTGCGATACGCGGGCCACTCACTGTTGCGGCCTCTCCCGTTGCGGAGCACAGGCTCCAGATGCGCAGGCTCAGCGGCCATGGCTCACGGGCCCAGCCACTCCACGGCATGTGGGATCTTCCCAGACCGGGACACGAACCCGTGTCCCCTGCATCGGCAGGCGGACTCTCAACCACTGCGCCACCAGGGAAGCCCCCCTAAATGCATTTTTGACTTAGGATATTTTCAATTTAGGAGTAATTTATCGGGACATAACCCCATCATAAGTTGAGGAAAATCTGTATTATAGCATCATTTTTCATTGTTTAAAAAGTTGAGGACTTCCGTGGTAGCGCAGTGGTTAAGAATCCGCCTGCCAATGCAGGGGACATGGGTTCGAGCCCTGGTCCGGGAAGATCCCACATGCTGCGGAGCAACTAAGCCCGTGCACCACAACTACTGAAGCCCACAGGCCTAGAGCCTGTGCTCTGCCACAACAGAAGCCACCGCAGTGAGAAGTCTGTGCACCGCAACGAAGAGTAGCCCCCGCTCGCCGCAACTAGAGGAAGCCCACACGCAACAATGAAGACCCAATGCAGCCCAAAATAAATAAAAGTTGAGAGCACATTTTTTATCTTACTAGCATGTCCTAATTTAAGTGATATTATCTCCAAATGCTAACCACTTTTGTTTATAATTAAAAGCCATGATGGCTGTACACATTTGAAACTTGAAATACTTTTTTCCTTCGTTGCTAACAATTAACCTGAAAATAGCTTTGAAGCTGGAAAAGGGCTGGTGTTCTTACATACTGAGAGTGGTTTTGATGGCATCCATTAGTAAACAGTGTAGGATGTCTCTACTGATTTCAGCAAAGGGTATATAAAGTTAGTTATAACAAATCAGTTTCTCCCTACACCATACATACACACAAACAGTCTTCATGGAGGTAGATCATTTTCCTCAAGGATCTGTTTGAAAGAACTAATGCACCTTGTATAAGCAGAAATTATAGCACTGATGGAAAACGAGGAGTGGATCAGAATTGTTATGCGTGAAACTATTAAATGTATGTCCATCGGGATATTTGCTCCCACGGTAAAGATTTCAAAAATAGTTATCTTTAAGAAATGTAAGCTTCTGAAGAGAACTGTAGTACCACAGTCTTAGTATTTTTAGAAAGAGAACTACTCAGTGTTGTCACTTTTATCAGTTGCTGTGTGATCCCAGTTCCCAGTGTGATGATAGGCATTGAAAGTTTTATTTCGACAAGTTTTTTTTCCAGCTTTATTGAGATATAATTGACATATGTAAGTTAAAGGTGTAGCATCAACAGATACTAAGTATTTTTGCTCCAGGCATTAGAAATCTAAAAAATTGCAGTGAACATCAACTTACTAGCAAACGATTGTATTTTGCACACTGCTCAAGTGCAGTGAACATCAACTTAAAAGCAAACGATTGTATTTTGCACACTGCTCAAGTGCATAGGACGGAAAGCCCCCAGAAGAGAGTGCTAGTCTGTGTGCTAGGTGTAACATACACTCACATTTAATCTTTTTGACAATTTTATGAGGTAGATCTTATCCCCACTTAACTTTGACAGAAACCAGTGTTCAGGCAGAGCACTTCACAGAGGTCTTAATGTTGGAACTGAGAGAGGCGGCAGGGGGTGATGCTAGGAGTTTGAACTGAGATGTGAAGGTGTAAGTTCTAGGACAGGGACATTCCTGGAAGGGAAAACAGCATGTTAAAAGGATAGAGGCCAATAGAACCTGGCAGGTTTGGCAGATGTCAAGAACGTCATTAATTGTTGGTATGTAGCTGAGAATAGTAGGACATGAGACAAGGTAGATAGGCAGGCATCAGATCAGGGAGCACATGTGTAATGTGAATAAAAGATATTTAGAAGCAGCCCTGTAAATTACTTAAGACAGTCATATGTAAAATGTTTAAAAGGGCCAGGGGGATGTTTTTTCTTTTCTGTTCACAGTTTTGTTTAAAAAAATTATCCTAAGAGGTAGACATGTAGACTAGTGGAACAGAATAGAAAGTCCAGTGTCAGTGGGGGTGGTAGGGGTGGAGTGTAGATGGTAAAGGGGAATGGAGTAACAGATACTGGAAACAGCTGTGCCAGAAAGAAATGGAGCTAGTTAGAAGGTGAGTACATTCATAGGTCATATTTTTGAGTCCTCTTCCTTTCTCTCCCGTTGAAGATAACAGAGATGTAAGGATATTTTTTTGTGTTCTCTGAAGGAAAGGTGCTAATTTGGGCAAAAGTGTTGGGGAAACTATAAGAGGGGAGGTATGGATAATTACTTAAGGTATGAAGTTATGTGAGAATCTCACATCAGTAATAAAGTTTGAGGGGGAGGGAAGATATAGTCCTGTAACCCTCTTTCCTAGTTATTTCACCCGTCGTCAGTATTTTGACTTTGTTTCTGGGTTATTGAGTGAGGACTGTCTTTTCATTTCAATAGAATTAGACTTCAGAGAGTTGTGCAGGAATTGGGCAACTGCATAGCTTAGTGAAAAGCCAGACAGCTTGGGTTTGGATTCCAGTTCTATCAGGTAGAACTTAAGAGATCTTTGGTTAACTAACCTGTTGGTGCCTTACTTTTCTCGTTTGTAAAATGGAGATGATAATAGTGCATCCTTTATGTGGTTGTTATGATGATTCAAATGAGTGATTTGTAAAGCATGTAGTGTGGTACATAGTAAGCATAAGTATTTGCTAACTAATAAGAGTGTTATTCTGTTTATTAATTAGGTATGATTCACATAAGATAACTTGGGATATACTATTTTTAAAAACTGTGTTGTACATCACATACTTTTTGTGAATGATGAGTTGATATTTAGCTAATGAGTATTGGGAAAGAATTATTAAAATTTTATGTGTAAGTTTTGCATAAAAACACTTTATATTGTTCACATTCTTTCTAAAACATATGAGCCACTTTCCTACCTTGCCAAGTACAATAAAGTAAAAATAATTGAATTTACCTTTTAGATTGAAATCCTTGAAGGGTACAACAGGCTCTGATAAATGAAATTCTACTTAATGAAGTTGTACTTTATTTTTTAAGATTTTGCATGTTAAGTTTTCAAAAAAAGTAACATCAGTACATAAAGTAACTTCATTTATACATCCCTTTCTTGAAGTGATAAGAAACTGAGCACATTCTGAAAGATAGTAAATGTAGAGCTTCTATTTTAACAGGTCTCCTTCTAGTACTCTTAATGTATAGTCTCAAGCAAATTATTGCCTTCAGTTTTTACAGTCTTAGTGCATAAAATATAATTTTGAAAAGTTATATAAAAATTTTTATGAATTTTTGATTTATTTTTTTATACAGCAGGGTTTTTTTTAACATCTTTATTGGAGTATAATTGCTTTACAGTGGTATGTTAGTTTTTGCTTTATAACAAAGTGAATCAGCTATACATATACATATATCTCCAAATCTCTTCCCTCTTGGGTCTCCCTCCCTCCCACCTTCCCTATCCCACCCCTCTAGGTGGTCAAAATGCACCAAACTGATCTCCCTATGCTATGCTGCTGCTTCCCACTAGCTATCCATTTTACATTTGGTAGTGGATATATGTCCATGCCACTCTCTCACTTTGTCCCAGCTTACCCTTCTCCCTCCCCATATCCTTAAGTACATTCTGTAGTAGGTCTGCGTCTTTATTCCTGTCCTGCCCCTAGGTTCTTCATAACCAGTTTTGTTTGTTTGTTTTTTAGTTTCCATATATATGTGTTAGCATACGGTATTTGTTTTTCTCTTTCTGACTTACTTCACTCTGTATGACAGACTCTAGGTCCATCCACCTCACTACAAATAACTCAATTTAGTTTCTTTTTATGGCTGAGTAATATTCTGTTGTGTATATGTGCCACATCTTCTTTATCCATTCATCTGTTGATGGACACTTAGGTTCCTTCCATGTCCTGGTTATTGTAAGTAGAGCTGCAGTGAACATTGTGGTACATGACTCTTTTTGAATTATGGTTTTCTCAGGGTATATGCCCAGCAGTGGGATTGCTGGGTCATATGGTAGTTCTGTTTTTGGTTTTTTAAGGAACCTCCATGCTGTTCTCCATAGTGGCTGTACCAATTTACATTCCCACCAACAGTGCAAGAGGGTTCCCTTTTCTCCACACCCTCTCCAGCATTTATTTGTAGATTTTTTCATGATGGCTATTCTGACTGGTGTGAGGTGATAACTCATTGTGGTTTTGATTTGCATTTCTCTAATGATTAATGACGTTGACCGTTCTTTCATGTGTTTGTTGGCAATCTGTATATCTTCTTTGGAGAAATGTCTATTTACGTCTTCTGCCCATTTTTGGATTGGGTTGTTTGTTTTTTTGATATTGAGCTGCATGAGCTGCTTGTAAATTTTGGAGATTAATCCTTTGTCAGTTGC